GAATATAAATATACATATATAAAAATCTCCAGAGGAGGTTTTGCAACACTTCTGCCACGCAGGGGGTCTGATCCGTGAGGAACACAGCTCCAAACCCTCTCATTGCTGCTCGAAAAAAAGAGAAACCCCTCTTTTCGCAGTGCGAAACACAGGAATATTTTTGCTTGCCTCGTCTATAAATACTCACACGGCAGAATTTCCGAACACCTCGGGGAGGGGTGAGTGGGGAAGAAGAGTGAGCCTTTACAACTGAAAACGAAGAAATTTGGATTTGTTTGGATATATTGCCCAAAAATCGAGGATTCTGTGAGAAAAGGCGTACGTGAAACACGGGTCGAACCACGTCTCCAGCCCTGGGCTTACTGGTTCGATACTGGTTGGGCTCGGCCGGTGCGGTTTCTCTGCTCTCCCGGAGCGATCCCTGGGCTGAGAAGCTCAGCAAACCTCCACCCTTCCGAGAGAGGGGAAACGTCCTGGTTTTGTAACCCTGGCACGGCCAGAGCAGGAGGTTTTTGTCCCGGAGCCTTTGAGCTGAAGGTCTGGAAGCCCGGATCCCAACCTTCAGTGGTGCTGGAAGAGGCCGTTGCTTTGTCCTCCTTGGTCCTTGGTGCTCCTCGGGGTCTCTTTACTCCTAACTCTTAACTCCTTTACTGCCTCAGCTGCTGTTGCCAGCGTCCCACAGAACCTCCTCCCTTGAAAAAGCGTCTGAGAGAACATCTCAGCTTGAAAGGAGGTGGTGGAAAACCTCTGAAGGATCTTTCACCTGCCCTGGAGGAGGAATGGTTTCACGGTCAGTGAAAACCAGCCTGAGATTAGGCTGGGACCTGCTGCCCAGCACGCCCTGAGGGAGTTCCGGGTGGCTCCACGGCGAGGGCTTTGAGGATCCTCAAAGGCTCCTTAATCCTGACCTGGGTAGCAGAGGGCTGGGAGGTGTCGCTGACCCACCGAGGGTGAACCGTGCCGCGTGTGTGACCGTCAGGTCCTGCCTCAGGGGAGCGGCAGCCCCAAACGAGCCTGAACTGAGAGCGAGGAACCTGCTGGGCACCGCCCCTCCGGGCTAACTGGAATCTTTTCTTCTCCACAGGTGTCCCATGAGTTTGCCATTAACTTCAATCCCACAAACCCCTTCTGTTCAGGTAAGCAGCCACCACCAGGTCATTGAGACTCCTTAGGTGGCCATATGAGGACAATCTCTTTAGCAGGGCCTTTTAAACTGAAAAAGGGGAGATTTAAACTAGATATCAGGAAGAAATGTTTGACGCTGAAACCCTGACACGGGTTTCCCGGAGAGGTGGTAGAATCCCCATCCCTGGAGATGTTCAGAGCCAGGTTGGACTCAGATCTGAGCAACCTGATGGAGTTGAAGATGTCCCTGCTCCCTGCGGGGAGGTTGGACTAAACGTCTAAAGGTCCCTTCCAACCCAATGCATTCTATAATTCTACGATTCTGTGCCTTCAACATCTTCTGTCCTCCCCTCTGCATTTCGCCAGCAACATCTTGGGGACGTTTTTCAAGGTCTGCACACAGACAGACGTTAAGGGTGAAGCCCACATGAAGGAAAAGCTCTTGGCGGAGAGCGGAGAAAATTCGGGGGTGTGTAGGAAGGCCCAGGGTAAAAGGCAACTGGATTCTGACAGCGTAAAAAAATCCGCCTTCGCACCGGGATCTGGTGTGTCCTAGCAGCCGTCTGCTCCTCCGGCAAGCCTGCAAGGATCGCGGGGCTTGTGCGGCAGATGGGGAGCTCAGACGTGCTTCTTCATTTCGCAGCTGAGAGCTGGTCACAGTCATGGCAGCCTGGCCTGGGGCAGGAGTAGCGTGGCCAGCAGGAGCAGGGCAGGGTTGTCCCCCTGTCCCTGGCACTGGTGAGGCTGCACCTGGAACCCTGTGTTCAGTTTTGGGCCCTTCACAACAAGAAAGACCTGGAGGGGAAGGAGTGAGTCCAGGGAAGGGCAACGGAGCTGGGGAAGGGTCTGGAGAACAAGTGTGATGAGGGGTCTGGGGCTGTTCAGCTGGAGCAGATGAGGCTGAGGGGAGACCTCATCGCTCTCTGCAGCTCCCTGGCAGGAGGGGGTGGTGAGGTGGGTGTTGCTCTCTTCTCCCAAGGTGTTAGTGATAGGATGAGAGGAAATGAGCTCAGGTTGCACCAGAGGAGGTTTAGATTGGATATTAGGAAAAAAATCTGTAGTGAAAGAGCGGTGAAGCTGCCTGCGCATGTCAGGGGGCGAGTCCCCATCCCTGGAGGTGTTCAGAACCGTGTAGATGTGGCACTTGGGGACACGGTTTAGTGATCGTGGTGGTGCTGGGTTGACGGTTGGACTTGATGACCTCAGAGGTCTTTTCCAACCTAAATGATCTTAGAGCTGAAGAACTGCCCAAATCCAAGAGGTGAGGGCTGCAATGGGCTCTGAAAATCACCCGCCTAACCCCGGCGAAACAGGGGCTCGGGCAGCCTCCGCGCCTCGCTGGAGTCCATGGAGGGGGCTGTGAGCCCCTGCTGCCCCGCTGCTGCCTTCAGCCCCTCGCCGGCCGCTCTAAAGCATTCCTTGGACCTCATCTATCATCGGTGTCACGAGGTGCCAAAGCCACCATCCTGCAGGTCCTTCCCAAGGAGCTGATGATGGGCTGGTTAACTGGGGAATTGGTCATTTTTGAACGACACACCCATTTCTGAATTACCCACCCTCCAGTAAAGTGACCGTTTACCCTGTTGTGCTGTGGCAGGGGCAGAGGGGGCTCTGCTGACCCAAACAGTTTGCGAGCTCAGAGGGTCCTTCTGGAGCTTTGCTTCTCTCCGCTACCTCTGCTTTGTATCTGCGGGGGTTTTGATTACGCTCAGAAGCCGGGAGTTGCTCCTCTTTCTGCTTTTTGGTTGATTCTGGGGTTTTTGCAGAAGCACAAGGAAAGCTAAAGCTGTGGGAGCTACCTGAGAAGGTTTGAGGACCCTCTACAAAGTGATGAAAAAATCTTGAGGTGGATGAAGCCTGTGGAACTGGATGGGGCGAAAGAAAACGGGTCTAACTTCAGTTCCCACGGCAGCGTTAGCTAATGGTGCTGAGTTGGGCGCGTTGTAACGCTGAGCTTCTCTGCTTTCCCTGCAGGTGTGGAGGGCATCGTCCAAGCGTACTCGGCCTGCCTGCCCCACATCCGCTTCTATGGACCCACCAACTTCTCGCCCATCGTCAACCACGTGGCTCGCTTCGCGGCTCAGGCCACCCAACAGCAGACCGCGTCCGTAAGTCCCTCAGGTCCCATCACGCGACGGCGATACCCATGTTTTGGGCAGGGGGAGGCAACACCTGAGCTTCATCTCGTGTTTTGCGACGGGTGGGGAGGCAGGACCGTACTGCCAGAACCATCTCTGCAGTCTCGGTCGGCCGTCGTCACTTCAGATGGAGGATGTAGAATCGGTGCAGGTGCTTCTCAGGAGCAAAAAAATAACTCAAAAAAGTTGATGAGTCAACAAAACCGCAGCTGTGGAGCGGCAGAAATTACTGGGGAGAGAATGGAGACGAGGGGGGG